TTGTTGCCCCTTGAAACATTCAACAGCTTAAAAGCGCATCTGGATCCTAGCCCAGAGACTGCAGCCAGCCATCCCCCAAGCCCTGCGAAGCCTCAGTCTCCTCCACGGCCCTCCATCATGGCAGACTTCAGGCCTTTCCGCCTCAGGGCCCTAGAGTGAGCGGAGGGGACCCTTCTCTGCCTTTCCCTCGAAAATACTGCTCATGCTCAAACCTGCAGATAACAGAACAAGAGCAGCCCCAAGTTCCAGATTGGAGTGGGAAATGGGACGACGGGGGTAGGGGTAAGGGGGAGACAAGAAAGATTGGCAGGTCATTAACAACTGCCATGCAAGGCAGTCAGTGCAATGAGCTTCCATCCTGGGAAGGTGTTTGTTCTGGTTCTTTCTATAAGGTTCCAAACTTCGTGGATCTCACAGGATCACGATTCTGATGTCTTTGGCTAATGTGGGATCACAGGAGCCAGTGGAAAGGTCCAGAATGAGGCTACATGGCTGAAGAATAGCCTCCCTGGCTTCAGAAGCTGCTTCTTCCATGTTGCAGATGACGTTTGACAAGCTGTGACCCTGCTTCCAAACCCCAAAGCTCACTCCTGAATGAAAAAGAAACATTTGCCCGCATGGGGGAGGTCGAGGCACCCTCTACACACACACACACACACACACACACACACACACACACACACACACACACACTTTCTGAATCGTGGGGTCGGGGCCTGCCCTGCACCTCAGATCTCAGGCATATTGCAAGGAGAGGGACAAGAATCAAGTTTGCAGGGTAACTCAGCACATCCCTGCAGGAAACACCATCACGGGGGGTGGAGCGATCCAAGTGAGCAAGAGCAATCATGCAGTGAGGTCGTGGCGAGCCCCAGGACGTGAACCGTGTGAGGCCCTGGTGATGAGAGAGTAGTCCACGCTGATTAGTGAGCCTCTGAGGTTGCAGGGGAAAGCTGGGCCCCGGCCGTCCCAGGAGCAATCACTACGGCCAGGCTGTGTCCATCCATTCTCTGCAATCTCTCAGCTCAGATGGAGGCAGGGGGAGGCGGTCAGGAGGCTGTGCTCCCTTCCCGTCTCTGAGAGGAAGTCAGAGCACTTACTCACTAGATGTGTCTGGAAAACCCAAAGGTGGGACAGCTTCTATCTTTACCTCCACAGAGAAAGCAGTTACTGCCACCAGCAACAGGCTAGGAGGGCCACAGCTCTGACTACCAAAGGGCCTGGGTCCAGCATGGTTCCCTGAAACCCTTAAGCAGGCCTTTCACACAGCCCTCAATGCACAGCCCCACAGTGGTGGCCTCACTGCACCCATTTTACAGATGTGAACGCTGAGCCCCAAGTCCTCAACCAGAAGGCCACCCAGGGGGAGCTGAAAGTCTGCATTCTACATACATTCTCTTCCTCTCTGTGTAGCTCTGCATAACTTCCCTTAAACATCAAAGAAATCCCAAGGCTCATATCTAAACTATGGCAAAGGGGCCATGCCTGAGGGAGCAAGCAGCTGTCAGAGACTGCCTACCAAGGCCACTACAGCTGGGCTCAGCTCGCATATGTCATGGAGTTGAACAAGACACTGCCACAGAAGCCTCTGCCTTGTCACTGGGAGGTTCCTCCCTGACTGTCTCCCTCAGAGTGTCCTCAATCTTCTCAAGCATCTCTGCGGGGCCATGGACACACCCCAGGCCTCCCCAAGCCCCCCGGAAGCTATGTGGAGCTACGCCAGTCTGCCTGCAAGAGGGGCTGAGCAAGCTTGTGCCAGCAGTAGCCGGGCCTCTACCTCAGGGCCAGCACCCTCCCACTCTCAAATCCAGAGTGCTATGGAACAAGCTGGCCCTTAACGAGCATAAGAATTGTGGGAAGAAATGGCTGCTGGAGAAGTTTCCAGAAAGAACCTTCTAGAGAAGTCAGACGGCGAAACCTGGAAAGCAAAGAGTTAAATCTCTTCTATTTCGAAACGGATAAAAATCCCGTTTGGCTTGCAAGGAGAGACAGAGAAGCTGAGGCCAGCGCCCCCCCCAGCCCCCACCCCTGTCATTATACCCTTAAGAAGCAAAGAGGAGGAAAAGTCCCCATTGGCCACCCTCTGCCTTGCTGCCCTAGCTGGTCTTCATTAAGGAAGACAGGTCCAATTTCCCCACCGTGAGCACAGCTAACAGCCAGGAAACCCTGGGGCTGGGAAAACACAGCCCTCAGACCATTAACAACTTGTGGTCAACAAAAATCCCTGGCTTCTGGCAGCTGCTCTCCCTCAAATCAAATTCCACGGCAGGAGAAAACAGCTCACCAGAAATGCGGGGCTGTGAGTGCATTGCAACCTGCTGTTCTGACCAAGCTGCCAGTCATCAGCTGCAGGGCGAGACCTCCCCCCTCCCCCCCCCGTGCATGGCAAGAGAAAGACAAAAGGCAAAACTGGACTCTGCAGCCTGTATTCAATTGGGTCTGAAAATTGGGGCCTGTTTTCATTCTCAACCCAAATTGGTAACCATTACAGAATTCTTGCTATGGACCACCATGCACACATACAGACATTCTATCGTTATCCCCACTTTGCAGATGGGAAAATTGAGTCTCAGCTATGGGAAAAACCCAGCCAAGACCTCTGAGCTGGGTCTAGTTCCCTGAGCTTCAGTGGTACCTTCCCACACAATCTGGAGAAACAGTACTGGCTGCTCCATTCCAGGATCTGTTTGGGGATCCTATGTTTTAAGACGGCGCAAGGCTGAGGAGCCAGCCCGATCAGTAAGGCGCAAGGCTGAGGAGCCAGCCCGATCAGTAAAGCGTTCGTCACACAAGTGTCAGGACCTGAGTTTAAGCCCCAGAGCTGAGCATGGTGGTACATGCCTGCCATACTGGCTCTGGGGATGCGGAAACAGAAGAACTCCTGGAGTTCCGTGACCATCCAATCCCGCCAAGTCAGTGAGCTCCAGGCTCAGTGAGGGACCTTGCCTCGAAAACCAGGTGGAAAGTGACTGAGGAAGACAGCTGACATTGACTGCCGGCCTCTCGCGCACACACATGTGCAAATGTGCACAAGCATGAACATGAGTGCATGACATGCATAAAACACACACACACACACACACACGCACGCACGCACGCACGCACGCACGCACTTTTTAAAGATGCAAAGCTTTTCCAGAAACTTGATGATAAAAGGCACCATGCAGAAATGACAAGTTTTTGCCACAGCCTGACACCACCAGCAGGCAGCGGACTCAGCCAGACCTGATGTTTTGCTCTGCCCTGGGATACTGGGATGTCCTTGCATGCCTGCCCTTTAGAATTTGGTCACCAGAGACTGTACAGCAGAAGTCACCTGGCCCCACTAGCTAAGAGTTCTCTCTCCAGCTCCTGAGGAACCCCCTCTCATTCACACTCTCCAGGGCAGCCGGCAACTCAGGCTTTGCCAAGACCCTCCCACAGGGTCACCAGTAAAAGTGGTACTTGACCCTTGGGCCAGCTGTCAGCACCAGCTCCCTAGAGGAGGGCCAGCAGGCACCTCTGTCTAGCCAAAGACACTCGGCCACCCTCCAGTTCATCCCAGATCCCTGGGCAAGCCCGGTCAGAGGCATGCCATGAGGGCAGTTCCACAGTTTGCACGATTTGGCACGGTCTGCACAACACATCTTCCTGTCCCACCCGGCAGAAGCCCCAGGTTAAAGTGTCCTAAAAACCAGCCTTAGGAAGGCAGCTGAGTCAGGCAGACACATCAACACGCTGCTCTCATCTTCTCCTAGAGGGCCACTCCATTCCCCCAGACACAGCTGGCTGTTCTAGAATCTCCTCGACTATTCACTGCAGGTCTTCACCCTCGCTGACTCTGGGGTAACTTCCACACTCATCCGGCACTCCTTAGCACACTCAACGACACGCCACTTTTGTCACAGATCTGTGCAGTAGTCACACTGTGAATCCACTGGCAGAGCACTTAGGGTCCACTTGGCATTGCATCCAATTCGCTTGGCCCTGAGTCACCGAAAGGACATGGCCCTAGAACCCACTGCAGCTGTGAGGCCATCAGCGAGCCTCAGTCAGACACAACAGGCGAGTGCACCTGTTGGTGACCCAACACGTGAGTGAATGACATCCACAAGGTGTTTGGGGATCTAGGAGAGCACTGCCCCATCCTGTACCACCCAACCCCTGAAGTGGGAATACCTGAGAGCCAAGATAGCCCTCAGAGACCATTTTCCAGGTGATTATCAAACTCCCTAGCCAGGGAGCCCTGTCCCCCCAAACTTTCCACAAAGTCTAGGGTATGTCAGAGAAAAAAAAAACTGGGCCAAGTGTCCCAGCCCAAGGGCTCAGGCTCCAGATGCTTGTGGGACACAGACCTCAGTGATGGTGACAGGGGCTGTCTCAGTTCACCTGGCTTTGGGTGGCCTCTGGGACCACCAGACACTTGCACAGGCTCTCAGCCTTCTTCCTGAAGCAGGACAATTCCCAGCATCCTTCGATGCCCAACACGAATCAAGAGGACTCTGTGGACTACAGTGCAGGCCCCAGCCCCTGCTCTGCGGGGCTTCCTGTTCCTGTCTCTTCGGTGTTTCCCAGGAAGCAGGCTCTGTTGAACCAGGCTGGAACATCACTGACTTAGCGTGCGCACACACTGAGTCAGCAGGTTCCCTCCTGACAGTCCCGCTATGTAGCCCAGCTCTGGCCTGCAAGCCCATTCAGAATTTGTCCCTTGCCCATCAGAAGGTGCCAATCAGAGCAAGCATGTTGTGTCCTGTGTCCGCCCCAACCTGGCAGCCAGGAGAGACGTAGTGGGTTGTTTGGAAAAGGGCAGTCACTACCATCCCTGCAAGGTTCTCTTATGACAGCCAGTCTGGTCTCTCTACCCACCGGCCACCGCATCCTATGGGAAGCCATAGAGTCAAACTGGTCCCTAACAGAGGAGATGGATCTCCCACAGTAGACATAGCATCCCTACATGAGGACGCCACCACTTGCCCCCAAGTGTCCCAAGTGGGATAGGGGGATGCCTATCCCAGGCCTACCTCAAATATTTCGTCATCCAGAATCCGAGAGCCGAACATGATGATGCCATTGACATCTATTATGGGGTGGTCACTGCGGTTGAGGAACTTCATAACCTTCTTTTTACAGTCGAGAATCAAGGTGACATTTTTCCTGTAGACACTGATAGCAATTCGGTGCCACCTGCAAAACCACAGATATTTAGCGGGGAAACGGGTACATACTGCAGAAGACCACTGTGCAGCCTCTGAGTGACAGATTTGGGCACAAGTCTGGGCAATATCACATGAGAATCTTACTGTCACTTAGAGAATCTCTAGGAGTCGAGAAGGGATCACCCCCTGGCTTCAGAACTATTGCTCAAAGGCTACAGTAGGCTTCTTTCCCATTGTAACTACAGCATCCGTAGGCAACAAGAAATTAATGCCTATAAACCAGGCAGCATGTGTCCTAGTTCAGAGCTGTCTCTGTTTAACTCCTCTTTGAGTATGACTGGGAAGGTTTCTCTGGGTGTCTAAGAGCTCTCCTCTGTGAAGTGTGATGTCAGCCCCATTCCTGCAGTGAAGGGGGCCAGACTCAGGAAAGAGCGCTCGAAATGCAAGCACTCCTTGGGGACAGATGTAAAACACAAGAGACCTGTACTTCTCTCTAGTCTACTCAGACCCCCAACCAGATGTCTCTTCCTGAGATGCAAACCCCCGTGAGCTCCTGGGGTGCCCGGGGAAGGTTTGCGATTGATGGATTCAGCCATAGGAAGGAGTCACAGCAGGGCTGCAGTCACAGTAACGTTACCCCGAGAGCCCAAGTCTTTCCGCAGGATAGGAACCTCCTGGCAACTGCGGGGTGGATGGGATAGATTGACCGAGTCCTGCCAGAAAACCCCGAAGCCATGGCCCGAAGTCCCCAAGGTTACCTTTTGGGTGATCAGCATTTAGGGTGCCCTTGCGGAATATTGGGGATAGGCCTTTGTTTTCATTCACAGAGACAGACTGTCAAATCCAGAAAAGGTTAAGTCTCTTTGGGAACAGGCAGGCATGGCCACATAATCTCCTCTGTCCCTTTTGATCTAAGGCCAGCGTGGGATGCACTCATTCTACAGGGAAACAGGCCTAGGGACCAACAAAGGTTCCAGGGAACCTAGGCCTTGGGACTCCAGGTCCAGTGCTCTGTCTCCCCCAGTCCCCTGCAGTGGGCATCATATGCCGACTACTACCTGGCTAGCTAGTGCCACAGGCTGTCTGCCCAGAAGCTCCACTCCCTCCCTCAACAGGATACTTACTTGCCATCAGACAAGTTGATGCCAGGGAAGAGTGGATACTCCTCAGGCCCGGGCTTCCCTGTGTGGTCCTCATAGAGGAAGACGGGGGAGCGGCCCAGCTCCAGCCCCACCTGCTGGATGCCCTGCTCATTGTAAACAGAGACCAGGAAGGCCTGGCTGCCTTTCTTGGCTTTCACGGTAGTCAGGATGGAGAAGTCCTCAGGAAAATCGGATTCTGGAACAGAGGACAGGGTGAGGAGGCCTTAGGAGAGCCCCAATCCTGGCCAGCCACGGCGAGCGGCAGTTAGGCCAGCTTAGAGATCTGGCAAAGCCCAGCCATATGCGGTGCCACTCTGCAGCTCACCTGCCCCGAGATGAAGCTTCTACAGCCTCCTCTACCACCAGGGATCAAGTTGCCAAGTCAAGGCATACCTCGAACGCAAGCTTCTCCAGCAAACCCCAGTGGCCGTTCCAGCTAGCAGCCTGCAACGCCCTCTCCTTGGCTCCATCCTACACCTCCACGTATCTGCTTACAAGTCTCACTCAGAACCCACTCGACTGAGAGCTGCCTTCAGCAGAGGCAGCTTCTGAAGCATCTTCATGTCTTCCGTCGCATGAAAGCCTAGGCACAGCGTGTCTCATCCAGTGTCAAATCAAAAGGGGTCAGCGTTGTGGAGGAGAGGGGAGTGAGAGGCTGGTGAAGACATAGGTGCACTGTCTTCTTTGTAGAGGGCTGGGAGTCTGAGGTATGGGCTGGGTCAGGGCAGGAGTGTCTGGGTATCCCCACTACTCCATTAGAGTTGGAACAAGGTCAACCGGTTGGCCCAGAAGACCACTGCTAGTCACTGCTAGGTTACACAGTTCCCATGCAAAGCTATCCAAGGGTGCCCTCTGCTGACAGACCTACATGCTGCAGGTACTGTGCTGCCTGGTTGGCGGTGGGGGGGGGGGTAAGATGTCCTAGGACCTGGAATCCTAGGGACACTTGACTGCCATTCTTCCAATGTAGGACACAGGCAGACAAAGAGTGCAGAGGCTGTGACATCTCTTGGCAGGGACACTATTCAGGCCCCAGGGGTGACATGGGGGCATGGTGGGATAGGAAGCTAGCAGAAAAACCACTCCACGGAGTCATGACCTATGTCATTAAGGGGCCCCCAGACTCTAACATGGAAGAGTCACATGCCTTAGCCCAAGTCAGGTACCTCTGTAAAGAGGCTGGGTGTGCAGGGAGCTGCTTGGGAGGAGACAGGTGACACCTCACCACTGCCTTGCTGTCCTGGGCGTCACCCTGCGCCCGCCACTATTCGGGGATATGAAGGAAGATGGGGGTCTTGGGCCTAGCTGGCGCTGGTAGACAGGGGCTGGCATGACTGCCCAGTGGAGGCCCCTACAACTGAAGAGCAGCTAGCCATGCCAGTGGCGGGCCTTGTCGCTGTAGGAAGTGGACACCAGAGCAGTTCTGGAGGTCACTGTCTGCACTTGGGGTAGACCGTGCAATCATTATCCCACCTCTGTGCCCACCCTGACTCTGTCCCTTGCAGTCATTGAAGAATGAGAAGAGGGGACATGAGAGAGTCCTTTTTCTCCATCATGGTCTACGGCTGAGGACAGCCAGCTCGTCTCTTCCAGCTTATTAAAATGCTCTTTCTCAATGTTTAAAATCACTATGGTAACAAATTTTCTCAGCTCAGACAAAACTTGAAAAAGATAAATTATGTTGAACATTAATCTTTCTCCTGGCAAAATAACAAGGGATTTATAGTCACTTTAAGACGGTCCCTTCTCAACTGTGACAGCAGCCGGCCGCTGACACTGTACTCCAAGCTTCCGGACAGTCTGGGAGAAGTGCATCCGCTGTCTGGTGCTCCCTAATTCATCTCACTCGGAAAAGCCACCACTGAGAGGTAAGCACAGTGGAGGGCCAGCTGCTTCCCTCATGGTAGGTACACCCTCTCTCCCTCCACTGACGCCTGTCCATGGCAGGAATACAGCAGGAGACTAATAAGTGCAGTTGCCATGGCATTGACTCAGTCTAAGTCAATGGTTACGGGCAGGGTAATGGATCACTTGCCTTGGTGAGGTAAACGATAATTATGACAATCCCTCTAACATGGGCCAGGCTCCAGGGAGAACTCAAGGGACAAACACGGTCCCCGCTCCCAGGGAGTGACATTTCCACAAGGGACAGAAGCAATACATAAGCTATTTGGATAACAGACAATGTGCAGTGGCTGGGGGTGTGGGTGACCAAAGAGACAGGTGGGACATCACTGCAGGGTGTGGAGAGCGTCACAGACAGGGAGCCAGCAGGCATTTCAGTGGCCCTTGGTAGGGGGACCATGGCTTCCCTTCTAACTGCTCCCCCCACCTCCACATGGAGCTATTCATTGGCCCTGGGGAAGATGATGGGTATGAAGAACAGCTGTCATCTACTCCTGCCTGCAGGAGGGGTCATTCTGGGGTCACCCAGCCTGTCCCTCAGGCCCTCAAGTGAGGACACAGCACCTGCAGCTGGCCTGTCACCATGAGATTCCTGGGACCTAACAGGGAGTGAGGGGAAGTGCCTCCAACACCAAGTAGATGCCAAAGGTGGGCCATCTACCCAAAGCCTGGGGTGTGTAAAGGATGGGGCGTCTTTTAACCAGGGGCCCTGCATCCCACTCCTTGGGGTGCAAGGGACAAGATATCCCTAAACTGGAGGATTCTGTATCCCACTCTACGCGGGGACAAGAGGCAGGCCATCCCTCAACCAAAGGACTTCACACATTGATGGGGTTATAAGGCAAAGGCCATCCTGTATGACGGAGGAAGAGTAATCCCACTGTAGGAAGGGGGTACTAACCTAAGAGATCCTGCATCTCATTATATAGGAAATGGGGTGAAGCAGCCCTCAACCAGGGAATCCCACATACTACTACATGGGTGGGATGGGCACAGCCTCTTAGAACATATGCAGTTTCGCTCGCTAAATGAACACAGTGTCTCTGGCCCGATGCTGTATTCTCACACTGCCCTAGGTCCTTCTGTCACATGGGGCCTGATAGGGCAGCCAGCACCCTGCCCTCCACCCATGACCATAGTCCAGAGCCTGCGCTCCAAGAAGTGGTTCATCCTGTGGTCAACAGAGGACTGGTCGGACCCACATCCTCTGCCAGCGAGGATGGGAGAGGAAACAGCGGCAGCCGGCTGCTCTGCGGGGCTGAGGCTACTTCTAGAGCCTGCTGGAGACTTAGGCTTCTGGAGTAAAGATGGAGCCCTGGCAAGGGGCGATGAGGAGAAGGCTTCCAGGCCAACCACCAGGCCTGGAGTCCTGAGTTAGCCAGACATCTTGGATACCTCCTCACAGTAGGGCGCTAAAGATAGCAAAGGGAAAACCTCAGTGCCCAGCACAAGGACAGTGGGAACTGAGCTGCTGCGCCCAAGGTGACACCAGGAGTCCTGCCATCATGTTACTTAGGAGCTGGTGCTGGCTGGGTAGACGCAGGGACAGTAAAGCTTGGCTGTATACACGGAGGATCCATGGCCACCTTCACGCAGTAGTTTCTTTTTGATACAGCACCCGCCCTGTGGGAGAGAATGGTGAGACCCTACTCCGTGGACAAGCATGCCCAGCCATCTAGAAACCCAGATGTGCACGGGCTATGACTGGAAAAGCAGCCCACTACAGTAAGACTGTCATGGAGTTCAGCCACTAACCATGGGCTTCACTGGACACTGAGGTGATTACAGACATGTGTTTGTGCCCTGCTCAATCCAGCCTTGCTGCAGTTGCCTGGGGCCCTACGGCTTCTAGTGCAGCTCCTGCCACAGCCAGCCAGCCTCCCCACCCTGGTGCAGCCAAGCAGCCCGGCACTCTGGAGGGAGGCATGTGGTAACACGGAGTCACTCTCGTTCTTCCCTAGGCCGCTGCAGTGGCTGGCATGTCACCGTGAAAGTCCTACGGAAGCCATCCCACAAGGCCTGACCCGTTTCCTGAGCACTTGTCAATCAGAAAGCCTGCAGTGCCTTCCAGGGTTTCCCAGGATTAACCACCTGCTCTGAGATATGCAGCCTGGTACACCAGATGATGTATAATGCTGTCCCTTGACCAGCTTTCCCAGACTGGCCTGTGGGACCAGAGGACGCCACAGGCATTCCTCTGCAGGTACTCTGAAGCCACCTGGGCTCCACTGGCCATTGACACTCACTGCCTGGCCCAGTGTCATGCCCTCTTAGAGCAACACTGAGTGTCTAATCAAGTTACCAAATTGAGGGCAGGAGAAAAAAAACAAAACAAAACCCTCCCAGGACTGGGGCTGGGACTCAGCTGGCAGAGTGTTCTCCTGGTACATGCCTGAAATCTTGGGGCTAGAAAGATGGGTGCAAGAGAATCATAAGTTCAAGGACAACCCTGGCTGCAAAACAAAATTTGAGACTAGCCTAGAATACCTGACATCCTGCCGATAAATGAATAAAATGATGAATAAAATAAACCCCAGGGATGTGGTAAAAGTCTGTGATCCCCACACAGGGGAGTCTAAGGCGAGAGGATAAGATCTCAGAACAGGCTAAAGCCAGGCACAGTGGCACACGCCTATAATCCCAGCGCTTGGGAGGTGGAGGCGGGAAGACCAGGAGTTCAAGGTCTCCTTAGCTGTTTGGCAAGTTCAAGGCCAGTCTGAGCCTATGTGGACTCGTCTCAAAAACAAAATAACTGCAACAAATTAATCAACAACCACAAAAATATCCCCTATCATATGGTTCAGGAATCCATTCCATTTCCTGGGCTCAGTGACCTGATCCTGCAAGAGTTCTACTATAAGCTAGCCAAGGAGGAACAGAGTGACAGACAGGAATTCTAGCAACCTGTTCTCCTAGCTCTCTTGCCTTGGGTGACAGTGGTAAGAGAAACTATTATCTGCAGGCTATCTAAAGGAAGCCCTTTTGTTTTCCACAGCCATTCCCATAGCAGCATCATACCCCGATGTCCCTGGCCAGCCTCTTTCAGCCTTTCCCTGGGCCTAGGCCTCGATGCCTACAATTCAGGAGGCAAGATACCCAGTTCTAACTCTTGGGCCACAATGCAGAAAAAAAAATACAACTCTCTGGGAAAAGATAAGACTGGGGGTTCTCAAGGTGACTGACCTGCCCCCAAAATGCATGCTCTCTCCAAAAATAAGGCACAGTATCCCTGCAGCATCCCACGAGGAAGGGTCATGATGGGACCTCTACATTTACAGATGCCAAGCATTCTCTAAACTGGACATCTGTGACCCAGGGTGGTTCTGCACCAAAGGCATGCTCCTTGGAGACCCCAGTCTGCTTCCCCTGTAGTTGCAAGGGATGTGCATGATACATGATGGCCATCCATCCAAAATGACACCTCACTTCTCCCACAGACACAAACTTTTAAAATCGCAATGACTTCAGATAGACATCTGAAGGTGGGGGACTAACCCAGACAGCAGAAGATCAGAGGAAGTGACAACACAACCGGTCAGAGCATCCTTCCGGGATACAGCGGAGATATGGGGTTCACCAGAACAACACAGCTTGCTAAAAACTGCCTGATTCTGGTCCATTGTTAGGGGAATCATGTCCAGACCACCAAAAGATTGAACGAAGACTTCTAATCGCAGAAGGGGAGTGTCCTTTGCCTAACTCGCCTCTTACTCGGATCAGCAGAATCAGGGCACGTCAGGCTGAGCCAGCAGGCCCTCCTGAGTCAGGGAAAGAGGAATCCATCACATGCCCATCACAGAACAATCCCAGAGCATTTAATCAATGCCAGCAAGTGTGGAGGATAGCAGCTAACTACCCAAGTGGGTGAATAATCTAGACACCTACCTCCATCCAAAATGGCTCCCTCTGGATGTGTAATTAAAAGCAGGGGTCTGGCACCTGGCAGCAGATTCTCATTAGGAATCTCTCATGATAGCTGCCAGCCAGGATGCTGGACTTGTGTCTCTTAATGTCACTGGCCCCAATTAGTGCCGTGTTCCCCACTGCAAGCACTTCCTTTCCCATGACCTGAGGTTTCTCTCCACCTCACCCCTGGGGGGCATGGCCTCCTTTCTGCCCTTTGTCATCATGGTCCGTCACTGGTGGAAACGCGCCTGCTTGGACCCCTCAGGGCACAGATGGGGCCTTTCTCAAACACACAAGAGGCACATGAGTGGTAGGTTTCACTATGAGGAGGACTCCCAGAAAGCACACCCGTGGCTCTGCTACAAATAAAGACTCCAGCGTCTCCTCTGCTCCCTGGAGTCCCCAGCATTGCCTCCACCACCCAGAACAGGGGTGCCACTTACCAGGGTACAGCTGCTTGGTGGGCATGCTGAGTTGTGCATCTTTAGAGACTCGGTAGGCAACGTCCGGCCCTCTGGAAGACCGTCGAGTGGCACAGAAACCCGTGGTTTTCGTTACCCCTGAGGGCAAATTGTGAAAATCTAGCATCTCCAGAAGATCTGTTGGCTGAGCTGCAAAGACAAAGAAGCTGTGTCAGTCCCAGGTGGACACAACTGTGGGACACCCCAAAAGAGACAACTGAAGCCAGCCCTCACCCCTCCCCTCACACCCCCACCTCCAACAAACCTCTGGTGTTCAGAAGAGGCTGGGGGCCTGCTCAGGACCAGTGGTCCTATCTACGTTCCTGCCATCAGTTGCCCAGGGTCAGAGTCTGGCCTCATCTACATCCTTGCATTACAACCTGCAGGGACTTCTTAACTCCAAATCCTCAATTGGCCTGAGCCACACAAGCTCCACTTGTCTCTCCACTGTCACCGGTGTCATTTTGTCTGTCCCCCGTGTTCAGACAACAGTTCACAGCAAATATCCACATTCTATCTGCCTTCAAAAGACCTAGGCCTAAATGCCCAGGACAGGAGAATGCTTGCAGGGACCTCAGAACCCTTTCAGAAGACTTCTGACTCTCCATCCTTTGCGGGCCACTCAGAGAAAGGCAGACTTGACCCTCTAACCTCTGAACTACAGGTGGTTGCTCAAGAGCCCATGGGTCACCCCTGCAATGATTAGCTTTAATTGTCAACTTGACTGTGTAAGAGTGTTTCAGTGAGGAGCTGTTTATATTGGCTTGTCCTGTGGGCGCGTCCATAGGGGATGAATTTAAATTAAGTGATATGGGAAGTCCCAGCCCACTGTGGGTGGCACCATTCCCTAGGTCCTGAAGTGAAGGAGTAAAGAAGTCAGGCTGAACACAATCAAGCAGGTAAGTTTGTGTGCATTCATTTCTCTCTGCTCTTGACTGTGGATGGGATGTGACCAGCTGTTTGAAGACCCTGCCTTGACTTCCTTAAAATGGTGAACTGTAACCTAGAATTCTAAGCTGAAATAAATTCCTTTCTCCCCTAGTTTCTTATCAGAGTATTTTGTCATAGCTACAGAAATGGAGTTGGAACATCCCCAAACACAAAGCATGCCCCTCATCAGAGCCCCCTTTCTCCCATTCAGAGACCTTTGAGTCGACACATGACCGCCCCAGACTACTTGGTTTCCTGGTTACTGATGCTCAGCTTGAATTACAACAAATAGGAAGCTCTTGGATATCCAGCAGAAAATAAAATCCAAAGTGGTGCCACAAGGGTGTGAAACCTCCTGTCGCATGCCAGGCTGGACCAGTGTTGCTCCAGCCTGTGGTTTTCCTCTGGGGAAAGGATTCTGCTATTTGACTGTATATGGGCGGCACGCACAGAGAGGCAAACCCCTGCCATGCTAAGTGGGCACCTTGATCCAGCTACGCCTGAAGGGCATCTATACATGCCCATGTGTTCACTCTGTGTGTGCCCATCTGTATAACACCACATGCCATGCTGAAAACTCAGCACCCATATCTGAAGGCTGCAGGAGCCTGAAATTGGCCTATCCTGTGACTGCCCCTCCCAAATTCGAGTCACCAACTTCCCACATTTCTAGGAGGACAGTCAGGGTATTTTTAAGAAGACAGTAGGAAAAGATTATCATCCAGCAGCATCCATCAAATCTAGAGACTGACTCGTGACCTTGTGCTCCAAAGATACCTAAGGGGCCAGGTCTTCCTTCAACAGTTACTCCAGAGAAGCGTTCCCCACCTCTACAGGAACTGACTATGAAGGACAGCAGTGTGGACAGCCAGCCCGCTATTGACCCAGGCTGGCCTCCATCCATTTCAGAATCCTAGGCAGCTCTTAGCCGCTATCCAGTGCCTAATCCCACACAAGGTGTCAGTCACTAGTGTATCTGTGGCACCTCCCAGGTACTCTATATGGTGACAAAGTCGTCACTGGGCCCTTGTCCAGTGAACATCGGAGGCCATGCTGAGCCTGCTGGCAAGGTTGTGTGGCACAGTCCCAGCCCTGGACACAGCCATGGGAAGATGGCTGTGCCAACTGCCAGCACACCTGGCCAGAATGACACAGCACCGTACCTTGTGTCATTTTGGAAACTCAGCTCCAAGGCTGGCAGTGGCCGAGGGGAGAGATGGAGATCCCAGCAGGATTTCCTGGACCTTCACCATAGCATCCATACTATGATGCTCTTCCCAGACCAGACCAGAGCCTGGTTTCCCCATTGTCAAAGCAGAGAGTAGTTTAGCAGGTGCCCGCCTGGGGATGTTTATAGATCTGTATTGCAACAAGTTTAAAAGGCCACCAGACCTTTCCTAGGCCCAATGCCACCCTTCCTGCTGGCCAGGGCCTTTCTGTGCCAAAGAGCAAGATATATTTAGTCTTAAACAAGGTGTGGGGAGAATGGGAGTAGTGTCCAGCACACAGGCTTCTGGAAAATTCTCCCTCCCACATTGGATGCTTATCTGCCCTTCAAACCAATACCATACCCAGGTTGAGCGCCTCCACTCTGAAGTAGCAGGGGCCATTGGAACAAATGGGTGTGCTAAGAATGCAGGGTCACCCCTTTCTCCAAGGGAGGATAAACCCAACTGAGGTCAATTAGAGAGGTCACAGGAGCCATCTGGAACCTACCAGGGACAGTCTCCAGAACTCCAAAGCTCAAGTACAGGGCCTCTGGGAGGAAAATGCTATTCTTGGTGCCTTCAGGACTCCTCTGAGTCCCAAAACTCAGGTAGGATACATGTGGTATTACATCTGTGGCACTTGCTCTCAACAAGAGGCCTGTTCTTCTAACGTAAGTCACCTGAGTGAGCCTAAAGAATCCTGGAACCCACTACCCACTGCAAATGAGACCACCTCAATCCTGAGCACACTATGCATTACAAATGAGACCACCTCAATCCTGAGACCCACTACCCCACTGCAGATGAGACCGCCTCAATCCTGAGCACACTACGCATTACAAATGAGACCACCTCAATCCTGAGACGCACTACCCACTGCAGCAATTGTTTTGCGTGCAAGAACCCCATTGCTCTTTCAAGGCTGTTCCACCTGTGATCAGTTCCAACTCCAGAGAGAGGGCTGTCCTCTTCAGCTAGACCAAACCTCCTCCATGAGAGTCCTTCTTCACAGCATGGGAGACTAAAACTACATTTCCCAGATGCTTTTGCAGTAAGAATTATTGCAGCAAGCCAGAACCTACCAGTCAAAAATTATCCTAAAGTGGAACAGGAGTTCGCAGTAGCCTTCTTGACCTGCCTGAGGGCCATGTCTATGAGACAGACAGAGCACTAAGACCCCTGTGTTTGGGCCTGGTGCCCAGCCTGAGAGGATTCGATACTACTGCAGCAGTAGTCATCTGGAACCTACCAGGGACAGTCCCCAGAACTCCATAGCTCAAGTACAGGGCCTCTGTATGTTACCTCAAACTTCTGAGTCCAGCAGATCTGCTCTCCAGACAGCTTGCCTTCCCCCTGACAGCCTGCTACTCAGCTATGCATATGTCACACTTGCCTTCCAGGAACATACAGGAGGGGCGGGGTCTGACCTCAATCTGCATCACAGCAGCACACAGGTACCCAGCCCCTAGGAGACAGGAGCCCTGCTGTCACTTTTAGACATAGAAAGGAGCAGGTGTTGGCCCATCCCTCAGCGGACAGAGAGACCCAAGAGGCTGGACTCGGCCTCTCATGTGTGTATGTGTGTTCATGGTCAGTCCAGGCACTTTCTACTAACACTCCAGCATCCCCATGCCATTTTAATGCTGATGGAACCAGGTGTGATATCCGTAGACTGGAAAGTGAATGCAAGCGAGCTTAGTTCTAAGATAAAAGGGGGGTAACTGGGGAAGCAGTTGGAAACATGTAGCTGAGTTCCAGATACTCAACACAACACACAAAGGGAGCCATGCCACCAAGGGGCTCAGATGAAGGAGATAGGATAGACAAAAGGATGGATGGATGGATGGATGGATGGATGGATGGATGGATGGATGGATGATGGGCAGATGACTGGTTAGTGGAGTAGAAGAGTGTATGAATTAATGGATTAGTGGCTAACTGGAGAGATGGATGGGTAAATGGTAGGTAGATGGGTAGATGGATGGATGGATTGATGGGTGGATGGGTGAGTGGATGGGTGGTGGGTTAAGTTTTCTTGGGAAGATATGAACAAACATCAGTTCACCCTAGATAAAGCAACAATGACAGACCAAAGAAAGTTTTCCACCCATGTCTAGCTTGGCAAGCCAATGAGTTTAACTTAGGTCTTACAGGAGCATGGGCAAACTAGAGGTGGTTATACTGACAAGAAAGAGACATGTCCCCACACAGCAATAGTTAATCACTTATATCTCAGGGAGAAGCAAGGCTTTGTACATTGCCATATGAGCCATTTACGGACATCTAGGACATCTGTGAGCCCTCTCTCCCATATAGAAAGGATGTTAGCAGACTCAATTTTATGAATCTCATGTGGATAATTATAGCTTCTCTGATTTCAAGACAGCAATATCCATGTCATGCTAGGAGGACAGCATTCATCAATGGTTAGGTGAATGAACAGACCAATGGACTGATGGATGATGGGTGAGTGGGTGGGTAGAAGGGTGGGTGGATGCATGATAAATGGATATGGATGAGTGAACAGACCAATGGATGGATAATGAATAGATATGGGTGGTAAGTGGGGTAAGTGGGTAGATTGGTAGATATAGATTATAGATAGATTTTTGGATGATGAGAATTGGATGACTAGATGGATGGATGGATGGATGAATAAGTGGGTAGGTGGGTGAATGGGTGGGTATAGATTATGAATTGATAGACGATGAATGTATGATGGATGGGTCGGTGGACAGATGGATGGATGGACAAACAGATGGATGGATGGATATTAATGTCAGGTAGGTGATGGATATTAATGGCAGGCAGGTAGACAAAAAGATAAGTGGATAGTGGGTGAGTAGATGGATGGAAGGAAGGATTAATAAATCACTCACGGAGAAAGTGAGGAATGGAATGAGGCGAACCAGGAGGCAAACGCCAAAGACAGGTCTTACAAATGGCTAATCAGTCACATGTTTCATGTCCAAGCAACACTGTCACTTCTAACCACAGGGTGTCCTTCCCCAT